GCTAGGCTACTGTGCTGGGCCCAAATGAATAATTCTTTTTTTTGTATCTTTTTTTTTTAAAGATTTATTTTTATTATTTTTTATTGGAAAGGCGGATATACAGAGAGGAGAGACAGAGAGGAAGATCTTCCATCCGATGATTCACTCCCCAAGTGAGCGCAATGGGCCGATACTATGCCGATCCAAAGCCAGGAGCCTCTTCCGGGTCTCCCACGCAGGTGCAGGGTCCCAAAGCTTTGGGCTGTCCTCAACTGCTTTCCCAGGCCACAAGTAGGGAGCTGGAAGGGAAGCGGGGCTGCTGGGATTAGAACCTGCGCCCACATGGGATCCCGGGCGTGCAAGGCGAGGACCTTAAACACTTGCGCCACCGCGCCGGGCCCCAAATGAATAATTCTTAAGTAAATATAGATGGGTAATGAGTGTTCACCTATAGATTCTACTGGATCTTGCCTTTAAACTACCACAGGGGCGGTTACCTGGCCAAGTCTCATTTCTCAAGCGTTCAGCTTCCTCTGGACTTTCAGCAACTATTCAGCCATCAGCCTGTGGATAAATGAAGACTCACAGTTCGGGCATGTATGAAGCAGGGTGAAACCAAGGGAGAAACACTGTCCCCTGACCTGTCTAAAAACGGGTAAGCAAAGGCCTCAAAATGAGCTGCTCCCTTTTTAATAACATGCCTTGTACGGGATGTACATGTGCTAGAGCTCCTGGCAGGAATAATGCCTACTGGACAACTTGGTTAGCTTGTTTGTCTAAGATGCTGTAACTGTAGACTAAATTCTGGAATCAGGCCTGCTCCTTGCTTCCAGGGATAAAGTGTTGAGAACCATAGGCAGTTCTGTTGGCTTGTGACATCACAGCCAACAGCTGTTCCATGGGACACCCATCATGCTTATTAAACTGCTCATCAGAAACATGGCCGGACATGAGACTGATAGCCTTTGGCACATGAAGGGAAGCACGAGAAATGTGAGAACAAGCCAGTGTGTTTGCTGGTTACACAGATGAAAGCGATGAAAGGGAGAAGAGCATGTGTGTCCGGATAAAGAAAGGTAAGTTGATTCTTTATAGGGAAAAACAATTGTTAGATACATGCTTGGCTATCTTATTGTCATACATTTCTTACTGGGCAAAACAGCCAGGCCCCTAATTGCTAGGCAATGGACAGCCAATTCACCACAGGCGAGAAGGGTCTGAGGAAAGGGCTTATTTCCAGAAGCTAGCAATCTTGGCAATAGAGTCACTTCTGGATCCCAGCTTTGTTTCCCTCCCAAGAAGACAGCGAAAAAGTTTTTACAGGGAAGGGGGTGGTAGGTTTTAGGATGTGAGGGCTTGCAGAGGCACAGAGAGGGATGATTAAAACAGAAAAGACTTCAGAAAAAGGGAAGCTTGGGCCCAGCGTGATGGCACAGTGGTTAAGGTCCTCGCCTTGCACGCCCGGGATCCCATATGGGCGCAGGTTCTAATCCCAGCAGCCCCGCTTCCCATCCAGCTCCCTGCCTGTGGCCTGGGAAGGCAGTCGAGGATGGGCCAAAGCTTTGGGACCCTGCACCCGCGTGGGAGACCCGGAAGAGGCTCCTGGCTTTGGATTGGCTCAGCTCCAGCTGTTGCCTGGGGAGTGAATCATCGGACAGAAGATCTTCCTCTCTGTCTCTCCTCTCTGTATATCCGCCTTTCCAATAAAAATAAATCTTTAAAAAAAAAAAAGAAAAAGGGAAGCTCAATAGCTTAGAGCAGTGGACAGCATAGCCAGATGCACATGGAGAATATGGCAGTACACAGGACCCTGCAGAGGATACCTGGTACCATGACAGAGCACAGAGGACAAAACAAATTGCTCAACTACAGTGTTGCAGTGAATATCTGGGCAAACGGAGACTCTAAGGTGAATTATTTCAGCCAGTGGATTCTGGAGAGATTTCATCACAATTGAAGTGGCAAGATCAGCAGCAATTCAGAATTGTTGAACTATCAAAACCACTTGAGCAGGATCCTTGGCGCACACTCCACATCAGGGACCCTGAGATGGCTGTGAGGCTGGGTGGAGCTTCTCCCGTTATCTTCCCCTTTCCCCTAGATACAGGAAGGGAAAAAAAAAGAGGATGTGGAAACAATGGTCTCGCCCACTTTCCTCTAGCCCTTGACCCTTCACACCCTAATCAACTATGTAAAAATCATCAATAATAAAAAAAAGAAAAAGGGAGGCATAGAGGGGGGTTTGAGGATAGGACTGTAGGTTGCCCAGAGAATGGGTAGGCAGCCACATCACCCTGAGCTATGGGCAGCAGCTCGTATTGTTGTGGGGGTAGGGGTGAGGGCTGTTGCAGAAGCCCAGTTGGGAAAGTTCTCTTCTGGTCTTTTTTTAAAAGAACCCAAAAGCAAAACAAAAGACACCATTTCTTGTTTCAGCAATTTGGCACGTGCAAGGCGAGGGGCTTTTCCAAGCAACAGGAATCATTGATAACAGGAAACTTGGAAATACACTAAGAAGCCGTTCCCTAAAGAAAACCTGTTGGTTTGGGAGGGTTATGGGAGGAGTGGGGGGAATCCCAGTGCCTATAAAACTGTATCACATAATACAATGTTATTAACAATAAAAAAAAAAAAAGAAAACCTATTGGTTTCACAGACATTTTAGACAAGGCAGCGATCTACAGCTTCACAACACGAACCAGCGGCTGCTCAGGGCTGGGAGCAAGCAACATTGACTGCACCATCTGTGAATACACTCTAGAAAATCATTCAATTTTCAAACCGTTTTGTAGCATGCTGTGTGAACTGTATTTAAAAAAAAAAACCTGTTATTTTGCACATTCTGCCATGAAGATGATGGCAGATACCCGTTGCGGCCAGTTTTCTCTGCTGTGCCCCCTTTTGGTTTCCTCAACTGAAGCCCTAAGCTGCCTGATACTTTCGGCGTCACCGGTGAGAACTTTTCAGTTCTGTGAATCAGAAAAGGCTTGGCAAAACGCTTTAGGTTTCAAGGTTAAGAAGTAACTTGGCACCCTCAGAAATTGGATCCTATGGACACTTCCTTCACACTTGGCTGCCACCGGCAAGGAGTCGGATGGGAAGTGGAGCAGCCGGGATGCGAACCAACGGCCCCCTCCACACTGGGACCGGTCATCCACAAAGGGGCTTCACCAGGCAGAGCCTCCACCTTGGCTGCTGACTTATGTGACTCGTTTTTTCTCAGCACATTGGCGATCTGGAAAGAAAACAGGCTCCACGCCCTCCGGGGCCGCTAGTTTGACTACTTCTGCCACCAGGGAAGGCCTGAGCTCCTGGGAGATTCATAATAATGTTCCTAAAACGGGAAAAACATCCCGGACCGACTCCGCGGCTCCTCGCCCAGCTCGCAGCGGCTCCGACCTCGTGCCAAGCCAGGGAGCGCCCTTCCGGCCTGCCCACGTGGCGGGGACCCAACGGCCGCCATCCAGCGACGAAACCCCACCACCTTTCCCGCCACTTCACCCCACCCTTCCCCGCGCCACGCCCGAGTCCTAATGCGCCAGGACTTCCGGGACGCGCAGACTGCATCCGGGTATTTGTCAGTCAGGGCGCAGGGGCCTGCCCTTATGACGTCAGTAGGGGCGGGACCTTCGCTGGCGACTGGGCCTCCTGTCAGGGGGCGGAGCCAACGCAAGGGACCCGCCCATCAGATTCCATGACGTGTTAGAGGGGGATTCTCTATTATCAAAGTTTCTGTTTAGGGCAAATGCTAAGGACAAAGTGCCAATTCAAAAGTTCACATCCGCCAAATATTTGTCAAGTATTCTCTCCGTGATATTTTTCGCTCTTGTTAGCCTTGTCGACTTTCCCGTCTCAGGGTCCTCTCCGACGTGTCCCCCCCCGCCCCAGCCAGTGGCACCTGCGCACGTGGTGGGCGCCCGGGCTGCGCGCAGCCGCAGAAGGCTCGGGGCGGTGCCGGTGAGGGGCGGGTGACGCAGCGTCGCTCGCTGCCATTTTAAGTTGTTTGTTCTCGCTGTTTCGCTCAAACGCGACTCAGCCCCGGACCCGGGAGGATCCTGAGGCCGCCGCCGCCGCCGCTTGTGCAGCCGCCGGTGGTGGTGGTGGTGGGGGCGGGCACGAGGCTGTGCCACTGCGGACGTTTGCCCTCCTCTGCGACTTGTCCCTCCTGCGGTCTCCTCGGCCTGCTTTTCCAAGAGAGCGGAAGCCCGCCCGTGGGAGAGAGACTTCGCGAACAGATGCCTGAACTGAAATAACTTTATTCCTCGGCTGACAGGCCGCTTAGCGCAGGGTCCCTCCCTCTCCGCCAGCGTCGACCTTCCCTCCTCTTTTCCTCGTTTTTCTTTTCTGCTGTCCCGTCGCCTCCGTCCCTCCCTCCTCCTCTTCCTCTTCCTCCACCTCCACTGTCGCCGGCGCCGAGCCAGACTATGGGTCCCAGGCGGGGGCTGCAGGGCGGCAGCAGCGCGGGCGGCCGGGCCTTGGCGCGCTCTGCAGCGGGCATGGAGGGGCGCAGTCGGCTGGTGGTGTTCTCTTGACATGGCTCCCGCCCGAGCCGCCAGCAGCGCCCCCGCCGCCGCCGTCGCCGCCTCCGCCGCCGCTGCCGCTCCGCCCGCGGGCTGCGGCTGAGAGAGGCCCGAGAGCCCGGCCCGCCGCCCTCGGGAGACAGACCAGCGCCCCGCCCGGCCCTGCGCACTCGGGAAACATGGTCTGCTCGACGTGAGAGCGCTTCCTCCGGAGTCCGGGAAACTTAGTTTTTTTGTTTTTTTGGGTTTTTTTTTGTGTGTGTTTTTTTCCCTCCCTTTTTTTGGGGTGGGTGGGTGGGGAGGGTTGGGCGGGCTTACTTTCAAAGTAATTGCTATTAACACGATTATTTTCTTCTCTTCCCCCTCCCCCTCCTCCACTGATCGGTCCCATTTACCCTTCTCCCGCCTCCTACCCGGGTGGGAGTTGTTTCCGCGATGATATGAGTGAGAACCCGAGGGATCCTGTGTCTCCCGTGGTGCGAGTGAGTCGCTGCCGCTGAAGGCGAGGGTAGGGGTGGGGGGCCTGGGCGGTGGAAACTGGTGGTCCCCCGGGCGCCGCCTGGGACTTGGGCGAAAAACCCCGCCACCTTTGGCCCCGGCCATGCTCACGCCAAGATAGACCGCGCTCTCCACCACCTCGATCGGGGCCGCCCTCGCAGGGGAATGTAGGGCTCGTTGCCGGGCTGACCCGCCTCTTCCCCCTCCTCCCCCCGGTGTGAGGGTCCAGTGCAGGGTGTTAGGGTCCCGGGAGTTCCCTCAGGTCTCGCCACCGCCGGATTAACTTAACAACACCGTGTCCCCTTTCCCTCTGCCATCATGATTGTCCTTGGCAGCAGCGCTGGCAGCCGCCTGTGGGTGAAAACGTGGGTGATGGGGAAGTCGGCCGTGACTCCGCTGTTTTTTCTCCTGGCTCCTTTGGGCAACAGCTGTCCGCCGCCGGTATACACTGTAGTTGATTGCAGGGAAACCCTGGACCTCGCCCCTTCCTTCTCGACCGATTTTGCACTTCTCTCTTTGCTCACCGCCCAGTGTAATCAATAACAGGCACTGACAATACATAGCAATAGTGAAATCTGAAATAACTACGAGTTAATTAGGTACTACAGCCATGGTGCTGGCTGGGTAAAATCCAATTGGCCATTTCAGTTTCATTCCCTATCCTTTTTTGCGGTTTTGTTTTTGTTTTGTATTTGGGAAGCAAGGATTACATTTCCCCCTCCCCCCTCCCCGGTCGTTCCTTTTATTCCCTTTACTTCAAACGGGAGGGCGGAATACGGATGGATGTTAAGGATTGGACTGGTGTCAGCTGTGTTTTATTACACACCTAAATCCTGATAATAGGCTTTGCCTCCTGTCCGGGCGCCTTCCTCCCTCCCCAACCTATTTTTTTTTTTTTGGCACTTGAGCCACATGTATTTTCCAGAAAGTTAGTTCACGTTTTCTCTCCTTCCTTTCCTCCCCCTCCCTCCCTCTTCCTTCCCCCACCTGATTCCAAACATGACTGGGCAGCAGGTTTTGTTTGTTGGCCGTCTGCTCTTGTTGCCAGAAGGTGCAGTTCTGGGGTTACAGTTGTGATTTTAGCTACTATATTAGCAGGAAAAAAAAATGACTTGTTTCTGTTGTACTTGAGTCTTAAGAAAAGTGCCCATAGTTTAGTGACAATTTCCAAAGGCTTTAGTACCACCTGTATTTCAAAATGGGGGACCCAAACTCCCGGAAGAAACAAGCTCTGAACAGACTACGTGCTCAGCTTAGAAAGAAAAAAGAATCTCTAGCTGACCAGTTTGACTTCAAGATGTATGTTGCCTTTGTATTCAAGGAGAAGGTAATTTAAAGTTCTTCATGTGAATTAGCACAAGTGATTTTGTAAGTGTATATTAAGTTGTTAAGTAATTGCTAATACTAGGTTGAAGAGTGGTTGGAAAAAGTTCACTTTGTATATGATGTTTTATCTTCATGGGTCATTTGAATTGAGAACAGGACTTCTTGTCCTTGAGTATTGGTTTGCAAAGATTTAACCCAAAAGGTGAGGAGGATCCACACAGCTTTGTGAAACTGCATTCATGGGGGAGTGAGATGCGAAATGTCATAGCTGAGTTAGAGATCCTCTAGTATGGAATATGAAGAGGATGAAACTGAAATTGGGATCAAGGTGAGAGTTGAGGTCAGCCTAATTCTGTCTTTATGAAACAGACACTTTTTCTCATTTAATGAAATTGGTCACATTTTTTTTAGGAGCGCTTAAATATTGGTTAACTTGTGTTCAGAAGTTTGAATTTCTGATAATTCAGTAAGAAAGTGTTGGTCAGGGTCAGAATTATTTTCATAGATAGCAAATGATGACTTCAGCAGCCAAGGATGATGTGATGAAAGCAATTTTAGGGGGGTGACTTAGAATGGATAGTTTCTTCAGTTGTCAAGAATATTTGGCTTAAGGAATTGCAAGTTTCGTATCTGCACTTAAGTTGTAGCTAATTGTGGAAATCTTAGCATGGTATCTAGTACTTTTTGGAAGGCCTCCCAGATCATTCCTCCACTGGTAACTCCAAAGTTGCGTGTATATGAGAACAGTCTTGGTAACTTTTAGTACTGTAAGGTTGTTTAAAAGTGAGTGTTCTGAAACGATTGGCCCAGAGGGGAGAAGCCAGGGCTTTTTTCTCCATTTCTTTTCAGTTGGAGGATTGATAATTAAGAGCTGTTTACATAAATCCATGTCATAAATGGGGAGACTATATCTTCACATTTAATCTATAAAAAGTCTCAGTTGTACCGTGTAGTTATGTAATACCTTTGGAAATATTTTCCATGAATGGATACTGGCTGGATTTATGTTCTGTAGTACAGAATTTTGTAGGTTGGAATGTTGCTAAACCCTTGGTGTTAACTAATTTTGAAACACAATTTGGTGTACATTTTTTTCCTCTGTTCAAATGCTGACAGCTTGGGTATACTCAGTATATCTATCCAGAAAGAGTAAATTGACCCACTTAAGAAATAAATCAGTTGATTGAAATAGCTTTGTTTTTAAACTCATGATGTTTTACTGTGGCTATTGGTGCATTATTGGTTTTTCTTTTTATTAAGTCTTAGCAGTACTTGGTATTTAACGACTGTTGTCTAAAATACATACATGTATACCACATTGCTGTGAAACTGAAATTAAACATTCTGATAACAGTCTGTCTATGGTGGTGGGGTGTGTGTGTGTCTGTGTGTTGGGGAGGGGGTGGGAAAGTACAGGAAGATGTGCCTACCTGAACATAGTTTCAGAATAAAAACTTTGACTTTAAGAATTTTGCTGAGTTGAAGTGTTTGGCTTTGATAGCATGGACTGGGTGTTAAATGACAGTTTGCTCCTGAAGGAGTTAAGAACTTTGTTTTTCACTTTTAGAAGAAAAAAGCAGCACTTTTTGAAGTGTCTGAAGTTATACCAGTCATGACAAATAATTATGAAGAAAATATCCTGAAAGGTGCGCGAGATTCCAGTTATTCCTTGGAAAGTTCCATTGAGCTTTTACAGAAGGATGTGGTACAGCTCCATGCTCCTCGATACCAGTCTATGAGAAGGGTAAGTGGCTAGTAACCACCGTGCTAACGGAAGTGTGTGCACTGTGTTGGCAGGGCTGCGAAAATGCAGTATTTGTCCCAGGATGATGATTATTAATTTGTTTGAACTGAGTGACAGAGGGAAAGACAAGAGGCAGAGGTGCCCTCAGTCTCTCCTTCCCGCCCTGTAAATCTGCGTTTCCAATAAAAATCAATTTTTAAAAATGGATGTATACCAAAATAAACAATGTTTTGTTGCTTTTCTCTAGGTACTTACTCAAGTACCCTCAGCACAGTCAGATTTATGTAACCCATTTTAGGTGCTTGTAATGGCCAACTATTTTTTATAACCTAATTGCTGGACATAAGAATTATTTTTAAATTCCTTAGAGTATTTTTTTTTTAAATAGAAGCATGGATAGCTCTGTTTGGTATTTTGTTTGATAATGGTGTATGTTTGTAAATAATGCTTTATGTTCCTGATGATTCATTTTTCCTTGGGTGAGTTAACACTGACCTTTTGTAAATTAGAAACTTTCTTGTTGTGAGTCTTCTCAACTTGGAAAATTAATCCAAGCATGCTTGAGCAGGAAATCCGTGTAATTGCGAGGAGGGGGACAGAATATTATGTTCCGAGTTGGAGAAGGTCTGTTGGCCTCTGAACACTAATACACCAGGAAGAGGAAGAATGGGAACAGAATTGGAGAAAAGTGATTCTCAAAAGAAAAGAATATGTCAGCTGTGATAACAGTGGTTTGTGTTAGAGGTTTTGAGACACCTTCATGCACTCAGTTTGGAGGGTTGAGATAACGGTTCAGTGATAGACAGCATTGTCAGAGCTCAGCTTTCATCAGGCACTGGTAAATGGAGATCTTTATGAGAAGAACATTTGGACTGGATGACTGAATGTGTGGATTCTCTACATGATAAATACCAAAGTCAGATGTCTTATGAGCTGTTCATATTCCATACAGCTTTCCTAACATCTCTTAAGATATAAAATGATAAGTTGAACCTTTCATGTTTGTAAGATGTTTCTATACTTAAAATTTGTGATGCTACTTGTTACAGGTTTATTTCAAAATCTTTTTACAATTTTTCACTTTGTAGGATGTAATTGGCTGTACTCAGGAGATGGATTTCATTCTTTGGCCTCGGAATGACATTGAGAAAATTGTCTGTCTCCTGTTCTCTAGGTGGAAGGAATCTGATGAGCCTTTTCGGCCTGTTCAGGTATTTATTCTAGAATAAGTGTGATAAGCACTTGAGTAAGTGAAAATGCCTGGAATAGTGTAAACTGAAAAGTTCTTCAGGAATATACTATTGCTGTTAAAGCATATGGATTGGAGAATCTCTGGAGTATGAGGTAGTTCTGTTTAGGGTGTCATAGAAATTATACCTGGGGAAAAACATTTTGTTTTTAATTTTTTACTTATTTTTTTATTGGAATGTCAGATTTACAGAGAGACGTAGGTATAGAAAGATCTTCCGTCTGCTGGTTCACTTCCAAAGTGCCCACAGTGGCTGGGAGCTGAGCCCATCCAAAGCAGGAGCTTCTTCCAGGTCTCGCACTTGGGTGCAGGGTCCCAAGACCTTGGGCCATCCTTGACTGCCCTCCCAGGTCACAAGCAGGGAGCTGGGATACAGACTTACGCCCGTATGGGATCTTAGCATATGCAAGGGTAGGACTTTAGCCAGTAGACTACTGTACCAGGACCTTGAAAATCTTTTTAAGAGGGGCTCATGGGGTGCTCAAGAGAACGTTACCCTTCTTCCGGCTGCCATGTGCACTCCTGAATTAGTATGTCACTCTGCTTTTCAAATGAATCTGGTCTAAATGAGTTAAGCTTTTTCTGGAAGCTGATACCTACATAGAGGTGTAGAGGAGAAAAGTAAATTTTGTAGTGATGCTTTAACCATTTTTAGTATCTTGCTGATTTGATTTACCAGATGATTTCTAATGTTCATTTAAGGGAATTTACTTGGATTGGTTCTTCTTTAAAGTACATTTGTATACATGGAGGAAAGGAGAAAAAGAGCTATTAAAATGTTGTTTTGTAATCAGAACAGTTAAGGACTTATTTTTGCTAAGTAAATATTAAAAGTCTTGGTTTATTTGTTAAGGAATGTAAAAGCTTAAAAACAAACATTATCTAGTACTGTGAGGTCTTCTGTGTTTTATTTTTATTGGAAAGGAAGAGCTGATTGACTCCCCATGTGGCCACAGCTGAGCTAAGCCGAGCTAAGCCCAGCTAAGCCGATCCTAAGCCAGGAGGCAGGAGCTTCCTGCAGGTCTACCATGTGGGTGCAAGGTCCCAAGGCTTTGGGCCATCCTTGACTGCTTTCCCAGGCCACGAGCAGTGAGCTGGATGGGAAATGAAGCATCAGGGACATAAACAGGCGTCCATGTAGGATCCTAGTGCTTGCAGGGTGAGAATTAGCCAATTGAGCCGTTGTCTGTATCCCCTTATGGTGTGATAGATTGTCCAGTTAGAATCTTGCCCAAGCTCTCTTGTGTTGTTGCCTAACCTCAGCTCAAATTCTCTTCAGAATTTGACAGTATATTTTAAAGATGATCCATAGGCTCAATAGATGTAAAAGTGTTATTTGTCTCATGAACGATAAGTATATTCACGTGTCTGTATCAGAGTATAAATTTCATTTTGCAAGTGGTAACAGAAAGATGTAAGAATATGACTTGGACTTCTGCTGAACTGGGCTGCAGGCATTGTTTAATATTTCTCATTGGAAAGATGGTAGGTTCACATAACACAGTATGTTTGAATTTCTAATATCTTTTTTCTGGAAACTTAGGAATGCTTTTAAAATCTTGTCTAGAGAACTTTTTCTTTGAAAATCGTGGCTAATGTTCTTTAGAGAAGTCCCATACACCAGTTCTTCAGATTGGTTCGCAGCTGAGCCAGATAGGGTGGTGGGGAGGAGGGCAGCAGGAACTTCATCCAAGCCTCCCACATGGGTCAGAATTTAGTTGAGCCATACTGCTGCTCCCAGGGTTTGCATTAATAGGAAGCTGGAGTTGGGAGTGGAGCCTGGATATGGAACCCAAGCATTCTAGCCCACGCCCTAACAGCTTGCACAAATGACCTCTCCTGTGGCTGATGCTTATGATAAGTTGGCTCTTGGGCTTTGTCATGAATCCGTACATTTATGTGTACAGTAATCAGATACGTGTGACCACAATGGTTGGCCCATCAGGAGCCAGGAACCTCCTCTGGTTCCCGTGCAGGTGCAGGGTCCCAAGGCTTTGGGCCCTGCTCAGCTGCTTTCCCAGGCCACAAGCAGGGAGCTGGATGGGAAGTGGAGCTGCTGGGATTAGAACCGGTGCCCATATGGGATCCCTGTGCATTCAAGGCAAGGGCTTTAGCTGCTAAGCCACGGTACTGGGCTGCCGAAAATATTTTTTAAAGAAGAAAAAAATAGAGGGAATAAATGAAAATGTTTATCAAAAAAGTAGGCGTAGGGCTCGGCGCAGTAGCCTAGTGGCTGAAGTCTTCACCTTACAACCATCTGGATCCCATATGGGCACCAGTTTGTGTTTATCTATACAGTAATCAGCTATGAGCCAGCTATTGATGAGAAAAAATTGGACAGAGATTCGGCAAATAGCTGGCTCAAAGTTGTGAAGTTAGGTAGTGGTCAAGTTAAATGCCTGGGCTTAACTGTAAAGCTCACCACCTTGACTCTTCACTCTGTACTGTGCTATGTATTTATAAAACCTTAAAACCTGGAGTGAGGTAGCAGGCATTTGGGGTGGTGGGTAAAGCTGCTCCTTGTGACTCCATCATCCCATATGGGCATGACTCCCAACTACTCTGCTTTGTAACCAGCTCTAGGCTAACATGCCTGGGGAAGCAGTGGGAGATGGCCCAAATGTTTACATCCCTGTGCCCATGTGGGAGACCAGTAGAAGTTTCTGGTTTCTGTCTGGCCCAGCAACAGCCGTTGCAGCTATTTTGAGTAGAAGACCTATGTATCTTACTGTTTAACTCTGCCATTCAGATAAATTTTTTTTTTTTTAAGATTTACTTATTTTACTGGAAAGGCACATTTGCAGAGAAAGAAACAAATCTTTGGTCTGCCGGTTCACTCTCAAGTGGCCACAGCGGCCGGAGCTAAGCCAATCCAAAGCCAGGAGCTAGCAGCCACTTCCGAGTCTCCTGTGCAGGTGCAGATTCCCAGGACTCTAGGCCATCCTCCACTGCTTTCCCAGGCTACAAACAGGGAGCTGGCTGGGAAGTGGAGCAGCTGGGACATGAATCAGTGCCCATTAGATCCCAGTGTGTTTAAGGCAAAGATTTAACCATTCAGCAATTGTACCTGGCCCGAGATAAAATATTTTTTGGAAATAAAAGTTCTGGGTTGAATATAGTAGGATATAAGCAGTAACTTATAATTTTAGAATTAAACTACATCTAGTAAATTTGAAATTTACTTGCCTAAAGTAATCTGAAGTAGTCATTCCTAGATATCCATCGGAGATTAGTTCCAGAATTAACTTTGTGAAGCACTTTAAAATCTATATACTTCCATGGTGAGATTTAACAGGAAATAGAATAAAGGTTACCTTAACAATCAAGTTTGTTACATTTAGTGTTGTGAAGTGCTTGAAGGTACTATAAAAATGATGTGTCATCTTTCCTTTTTATTAATGCTATTGCCTAAGTAGGCTGTTGATCCCACTGTTAGGATTTCCTTACTTTATGCTGCCTGTGAAAGGTGTATTTGTTTCTAAATGTTTAGTGCTGACCACCCTGCATCATAAGTGGATATTAGTTAGGTGGGGTAGGACTGAAGTGACATGCAAGTTAGATGGAAGGCTTTTTCAGTGTTGTTACGCACACACTTCTGATGTGATTACTGGTTGTTCATGTCCGTTGCATTTGTAGTCTTGTGACACCTGTTTTCTTTCTTGAACAGTATTTCATTGTTAACACATTATTGTTTGTATTAGTTTGTTTCCCCAGAGGGTTTTTTAAATTATCTTCCTTCAGGCACCATCCTGCATCACCACGGCTCTTGCCTTGCCTTCTCTTGCTTGACCTTTCCTTTTGCTGCACTTGGATAAGAATTCAATTCAAAGCTCCACACATAATAACATCTTACTTGGGGAAAGCCTTTCTTTTTCCTTGCTCTTTTTTTTCCCCCTTAGATTTATTTCCCAGGAAGAATAATAGAAGGAAAACCAAAGAAGGATTTTTTTTTTAAAGATTTATTTTATTTTTATTGGAAAGGCAGATATACAGAGAGAGGAGAGACAGAGAACAAGATCTTCTGTCCGATGATTCACTCCCCAAGTGAGCGCAACGGGCCGATACTATGCCGATCTGAAGCCAGGAGCCTCTTCCAGGTCTCCCATTCGGGTGCAGGGTCCCAAAGCTTTGGGCCGTCCTCGACTGCTTTCCCGGGCCACAGGCAGGGAGCTGGAAGGGAAGCGGGGCTGCCGGGATTAGAACCGGCGCCCATATGGGATCCCGGGTGTGCAAGGCGAGGACCTTAACCACTTGCGCCACCGTGCCGGGCCCCAAAGAGGGATCTTATACTCCTTAATTTTGTTTCCCAAAAGGTTGCAATGGCTGGAGCTGATTCAGCCTGAAGCTGGGAACCAGGAAACTCCATCTAGGTCTACTGCTTGGGTGGTAGGGGTCTTGTGCAGTTGCTTCCTCTGGTGTCTTCCCACATTCAGAAGAAGCTAGATCAGAAGTGGAGCAGCTGACTGCTGCTACTCCAGCATGATGTTTCAAGCTGCAGCTTAACCCACTGAACTTATGTGTCCATTCCTTCAGTAGTATGTAAACTCCCTGAAGACCTGTTTATTTGAAAAATAGCTGCACAAGAGAGGGAACCTTCATTCCACTGGTTTACTACTCTTGTGGCTGCAGTGCCCAGGAATGTTCCACTCTCATCCTCATCTCACATATACATGGCAGGGTCCCTAGTGCTTGGGCCAGGATTCTGGTTTTGTTTCCCCTGGTGTGTCAGCAGGCAGTTGGGGCAGCTGGGACACAAACCAGTGCTATATGGGATGGTGGTGTTGCAGGTAGCTTGACTATGCCACATCGTTGGCCTAGTTTTACATACAGTAGCATGTAGACACATTTTATGTTAAAGTTGATAAGAAAAACTCTAGTGCTTAGGCGATAAAATCCAAGGTAGTAGAAGCTGCTGACTTCCATTTCCATATTGCCAAATGTTTTTGGCATCATATGGAAATAAGTTATCTGAACGACATTGACTGTTAGTTTTACAATTCACAATTGTCTGAATGTCAGATTGCCAAAGATGTAGGTCGGTTTCTGTAGTTCTGCCTTGGTTTTCTTCCCCCCCCCCCCCCCCATCTCTGCCAGTGCACATAGACATTTGTGGGAGGATGGAGTTGGTTATATTGAGATTCAAAAAATATTCTTCTCCCACAAGTCTTAAATAGTTTAAAACAGGGCCTGGTGCGATAGCGTAATGGTTAAAGTCCTCGCCTTGCACACCCGGGATCCCATATGGGCGCTGGTTCTAAACCCGGCGGCCCCGCTTCCCTTCCAGCTCCCTGCTTGTGGCCTGGGAAAGCAGTCGAGGACGGCCCAAAGCCTTGGACCCTGCACCCGTGTGGGAGACCTGGAAGAGAAGTTCCTGGCTCCTGGCATTGGATTTTCTCTAGTTTGGGCATTGTGGTCACTTTAGGGAGTGAACTAGTGGATGGAAGATCTTTTTTCTCTGCAAATCTACCTTTCCTATTAATAAGAAATAAGTTCATCTTCAAAAATTTGAGGCTGTGAGAAACAAAAAGTGTAAACCATTTGGAGGTTCTGGTTGGATGCGTGTGCTGTGGTTTGGGATAGCTACATTCCATGTATTGGTACTTGAATTTGAGACCTGATTGCTTTCCTAACTCCAGCTTTGTGCCGATGTGCACCTTGGGAGGTAGCAGGTGGTACTCCAGGCTTAGGACTGTGTCACCCATATGCTCTCAAGTTTGAGTTCCTGGCGCCTGGCTTCCGCCTGGCCCTGCCTAGTTCGTGGTGAATGAACCAATGTATGGAAGCTTTGTGCTTCTGTCTCTCTGTTCATATTTACTCAGAAGCCAATTTATGTGAATGGTGAAACTATTTACCAAAATAGCCTTTCATGTGTGAACCAACCCCTCTCGCATTTTATCTTTTAAATGTCCTGGGAAATAGAACTTAATTTTATAGATGAAGCTGAAGTTTAAAAAGTTAAGGGGTTTGCATAAAATCATTAGTGAAGGACTAGAATAAATGTAATCTATAGTGCATCTTCTGAAAGGAGAGTGATATTCTTAAGGTTTAAATGCTAAGATGAGCATCTTCACCTAAGTAGGTTTGAGAATAGGATTTTATGCAACTTGGCTTAAGCCTCTTAATAGGATTGAGTCACATTGGCGCAGATTTTAAAGAACATGTCTTATACAGTGAAATGCTAGCTGATAGAACTTTGTGCAGTGAAATGATTACATATGAGTATGTTTTGTCATTAGGCCAAATTTGAGTTTCATCACGGTGACTATGAAAAACAGTTTCTGCATGTACTGAGCCGCAAGGACAAGACTGGAATTGTTGTCAACAATCCTAACCAGTCAGTGTTTCTCTTCATTGACAGACAGCACTTACAGGTATGTTGTACTCTTTTTTAATACCCGAGTTCAGTCCTCAGAGTTTACTGGTCGGTAAACTCTTTTCTGAATAAGATACCTGGTTATTTCACCTCTCAAAGTACTTGTTTCTAGTTATTTACGAGAAACATCTTGGGGGGTGTATTCTAGATTGTTTTCAAACTGCTATATACTGGAGTGTACTGGGAAGATCATGGTTTTAGTGCAGACTTTTAAAAACTAGGAATTCAGAAGAAAGTTAATTTGGTGCAGGCAATTGTCAGGTTTTTTTTTCCATTCTGCTTTCTTCAGATCTCTTGTGGTAGATGTTTTGGGTTGACACTTTCTTCTTTTTAAGCGCTTGTAATGTGCTTCATTTGACTTTGTTGAGGAAATACGGTAGATAGCACGTTACATGAGCTAAATTTGGGTTATAGGTAGGGATGACCCGCAATCTGGAATGTCCCAGTTTTTAGCACTAAAAAGATAAAAGTCCTGGGAAATGTTTTAGGCTCAGGCAAACTGGAACATTTAGTTTTAGAGGAACTTGATCTTCATTGTTGTACATTCTTAGTTTTCTTTGCTTTGTATGAAATTACACTTTTAATTTTTGAGCTGGGGGTGCGTTGCCGGCTTGCAATGTGCAGAGGAATCTACTTCCCCTGGTTTCTGAAGAAGTGATTGTAGCTTGGCTATTTGTGAAGGACTTTGTATATGTGGATTCATTTGATCTTTGTGGTAACCGTCTTACAGCTTAAAAAGTAAAGGAATTAATTATACCTTAATCACAATCATCTGCCAAGAGCTTGTGCTTTTTGATAATTGAAGGTGCATGATAAGGATGGTCTGAAGTATCAGCTAAAGATGGGCAGATGGGTTTACTCACATGCCTTGAACATCTGTCCAAATATTTTCATGAAATATTATTACCCTAATACTTTTTGACAAGTGATGACTGACTTTTGTGAGTTTCTAAGTATTTGGTTTACAATGAGTTTCTTTCTTTGCCAGATCTGAAATGGTAAGATTGTCTTCCTTACCAGAGTGTGGGTCAGAAGCCTCGGTTACGACTCTGGGTGCTTTGTCGTTGTGCCGTTGGTTTCATACATTCTGGGAACTTGACTTCAAGTGATGGCAGTCACATTAGCCTTGTTTAAGGATATTTTTTCCCATTTCAGACTCCAAAAAACAAAGCTACAATCTTCAAGTTATGCAGCATCTGCCTCTACTTGCCACAGGAACAGCTCACCCACTGGGCAGTGGGCACCATAGAGGATCACCTTCGTCCTTACATGCCAGAATAGAGACTGATCAGCAAAATGGAGAAGATCAGAGAATGCAGCAGCAGTTTTTCTTTTCTTGTTTTCTTACCACTTTATTCTTTCAGCGTTTAAGGAAAATGGACTCATGCACAGAACACTATGCATTCATCCTGGATTTTTTTTTTTTTTTAGTCATTTGAATCTCAGAACTTAAAACAAATTAGATGTCTTCTGCACAGACTGTGTGAAAGAAGATGCTTTGCATATTTGCTGCACTGCATCAGCATCTTACTAAAAATGTGAAATGAAAGGACTACTGTACACTGAAATGCTTAAATGTGTCTGAAAGCACAAGGTGATAACTCACTTTTGATGGTCTTCCCATTTGTCCTGGGTTTTGCCTCTGACATCTGTCATCAGTATTTAGAGGGTGAAAAGTGAATGTAACAGGTATAAATAATATTTCAAAAAGCTTGATAGCTTTGATATAATCACTGTTCCAGAGCACCATCAGATTCATTCTAATGACCAGAAGTGGTTGTTTAAAAAGAATACAACCATGGGAAAGAAATCTTAAGTGAAAAAAAACATCTCATTGTAGGCATTCTTGCCTCATCTTACTGGGCCGTATTTGTTTCCTGGTACTCATGTATTTTTTTTCCCAGATCTCTTTCCCCAAGTTGCTGTTACAGATTTTTCTGCTGAGTGTGGCTGCAGTTGTACACCTTAAAGCAGATCTGGAGTCTGAAGTAGCTAATGCAGCTATAAAACTGAGAAATACAAAGCTGCAAAAACCATGGTAGGTAGAGGACTTTGCTTTTTGGTTTTAAAGAGAAGAGATTTTAATGACAAAATTCCAGTGATTGTGCAGAAATACTGGTTTCTACACCTTTCTAAAGAAAAACTACCAGAGTTTTTGGAGTAGAAAAAGTTATAAAAGTTGAGATCTTAAATTGTAAAAACAAAACAAAAAACATGAGTGTCAAAGTTCTAAAAGCAGAACTCATTTTGTGCAATGAACATAAGGAAAGACTACTGTATAGTTTTTTTTTTTTCCTTTTAAATGAAGAAAAGCTTTGCTTAAGGGTTGCATACTTTTATTGGAGTAAATCTGAATGATCCTACTCCTTTGGAGTAAACTAATGCTTACCAGTTTCCAATTGTATTTAGCTTCTGGTTGGAATTTGAAAAAATGAAAACCTAAATAAAATAGGTGGAAGTTCCCTGACTATTCAGGTGAATACACAAAGCTTGAAGTGGTAACTTTATTTGTCCAAATCACTGGGTAGATGTTACTGATGAGTTTAAAACTGAATAGGTGTTGGGGAAACTCGCTTCTTAAAAACCTGGCCAGTTGGGTTTGCATCTTCAACAAGAGGAGGAATCAAAAATACTTTGTCAGTTTTTGATGTTCAGTAGCCTCCTTTATGCCTTGTTTCATTAGAAAGAAAAACACTTTTTCTGGTTAGTTAAAATAATGCAGTTTAAAAAGATTTATTGTTTGAGACAGTTCAGAGAATTCTATACATTGATGCATTGCCAGGATGGCTACAACAGCAGGGGCTCAGCTAGGCAGAAGCCAGGAGCTGGGAACTGAGTTGCAGGGGCCATCTGCTGCTTCCCAGGGATGTTACCAGGGGTTTGGTGAAGTGGAGCAGCTGGGACTCCAACCAGCATCCATGTGAGGTGCTGATATAGCAAGTGTTGACTCAAGCCCCCGAAAAAAAAGTACGGCCGCTGTGCTCAGTTCTTTCCTTAGACAATTCTGGGTGGCAATAGATGGCAGCAGTCAAGAACTTGCCCAGGCCTTCATCAGGACTTTAGAGCCAGAGTACTCTGCGTTTTATTGTGTTGTTACTGTACTGACTTGTCATTTTTGACATCATGGCAGCCATTTGTTTTATTTTTACATTTTTGTTTTGGAATTTGGGGAAGTTGCATCATTTAGCAAGCCTCCCATATAACCTACATCTGCATCTGTTTTCATTCTTTGTACTTATTTTGGAGCCATTTGAGAGTTGGCTACATAGATTGTGATCCTAAATGATAACCACAGGAAAGGTATGAGACTCGGAATGTAACATGTAAGATGGTGTCATCCACATTCTGGTTTCATTAATTGTCCTAGTATTCTTGGTACAAGATCATTGCATTTAGCAATCCTGTCTTGTCCTTTTTGGAGGTCAGGCCAGTTTTTCCTATAAGCAGTTTCATTTTGCATTTGAGTTGTGTTCAAGATTGATGACTTGTCTTTGCCGTCCTAAAGCACTGACCAGACGACCTGGTTAAGGTGGTGTCCCATTTGTGCACTATGTACTTTAACAGCTGGGAGAAACAGCAAGCGAGCACTTGGGCCTAATCCTTTGTCAGGAGCTCCACTGATGAAGGTCAGACCTTTAGGAAGATGGCAGATGTCATTTCCAGATGCACTGCGCCCTTCACAGTCCTTAGCATTCAGAACACTACCATGCCCATCCAAGTTTTGCAGGCACAGAATCTTGTTGCTCTGGGTGCATAACTCACATGCCAAAATATTTTTTTTTTTGGATGTATGCCGCATTGTAACTTCTCTGCCCCAGCCTCCAGCCCTTAAACCAGATGTTTTCCCAGAATCCAATGGAACCTGGGATAAAAGTAGGCATCTAGGTGTGCATCTGAAAGCACCCTGCTCTGTTGACTATTCTAATATGATGAATAATCAACTGTGTGAAAGGTGGAAAGATGTACCTTTCACTCCTGGTTTATTCTTCAAATCGCAGTAATAGCCACGTCTGGCCAGGCAGGAACCAGGATCCACAAACTCTGGTATGGTCTTCTACATGGCAGGGGCCTTGACACTTGAACCATCATCTCAACTGCCTTCCCAGAAGCGTTAGCAGAAACCTGCATCAAAAATAGCACTTTGATTTTTTTTTTTTTTTTATTCTTTTTCAGTCTTGAGTTGTGAAGTGTTCACTAAGAATTGGATACAGAAAATTTTGCAAGTGCCAGTCAGTAGAACTTTCACACTTAAGAAATGTGAACTTGGTGTTATACTGGAGACAGAAGATATTTATGGTCTTTAAGATTATTTTGGAGGACCCTGGTATAGAAGCCTGGTGGCTAACATCCTTACCTTGCATGCGCTGGGATCCCATATAGACTCTGGTTCATGTCCCGGCTGTTCCACCTCCCATCCAGCTCCCGGCTTGTGGCCTGGGAAGCAGTCAAGGATCTCCTAATGCCAGATTTCATGCATACCAGGGGGTGCATGAGCCAGCCCTACTTGGTTTGCCTCCTGTCCTAGCAGGGACAGTGGCTTTTCCTGATTGGCCTTCCACCCAATCTGGTTCTTACTGTAGGATATTTCAGCCCAGCCAAGGCTCGTCCATACCTGCATACAGCTCACACATAGCGCATTAGGGGCTGAGACCAAGCCTAATCCGTCCCACATCTACCCTGGTCCTCCAGAACAGCAGATGGTGTTGGAGTCTGGCCCGGCTTAGGGCTTCCAGTCCCAGTCTACACTTGTGCCAAGTGAGACTGATCAGAATGCAGCCCCCATTTCAGCCCACGTGCCCCTTGGTGGGAACCTCCACCCAGCTAGGGTGTCCCCTTAGCTCCCCAACTGGGCCTGTTCCCAGCCATGGAGCACATGCATGCCAGTGGTTGCTGTGACTCAGCTTGGTACAGCTCCCCACCTGTCCCGGCCCCTGTCTTAGGCGCTGTGGCTTAGCGTCTCTGGCCCACGCAGACCAGTAGGTGCAAGAGCCTAGCTCGGCATGACCTGTGCTCCATCCTGGTTTCTAATTTTGCTTGTGGGCTAAGGTTAGCTCAGTCCTGCCTGGTCCACCCCGTTTCATTACCAACTTACACATTAGCCAGCCATTGGAGCTGCTTTGCCCAGCTTGTCCGACCCCCAGGTCTGGACCATCTTTTCACCAGCAGGAGCTATGACCCGCCAGGGGAGTTGGAAGGACTTTATTCAGTGCACTTCTTGGAGACCCTGTAGGGCTCCCTTGTCCTTCCATCATGTGGGTACAGTCAGAAAGTTCCATCTATAAACCAGGAATGCCTGTCAATCTGCTGAGGCCTTCTCTTTGGATCCCCAGCCCCTAGAACTATAAGAGAATTATATGAGCTACACAGTCTACGGTGTTATAACAGGTGAATGGAATTAACCAGTTATGCTTCTTTAGCTTAGCACTTCAGAGGAAGGGTGAAGCTTTTTTCTGCCAAGTACAATTCGAATATATCATGATTCACAGGCCACACCATTAATTAGATTTATTTTATTTTTAGTGATGTTTATGTAGTTGGTTAGGGTGAGAAGGGTCAAGGATCTGGAGAAAGTGGGCAAGACCATTGTTTACATATTTTCTTCTTTGTATCTGGGGGAGGGGAGGATACACTGGGAGAGACCATGTCCATCCTCCCAACCACCTCAGTACCCGATGTTATCCAAGGGAGGGTCCCTGTTCTGGAGCAAATTCTGCGGGTTCTGCTCAAGTGATTTCAATAGTTGTAAAATGTAGTTGATACCACCACTTAAAGGATAGGAAATTTTTCCAAGGTCAATTGGCTGACATGGTCCACCTCAGTCTCCATTCACCCAGAAGTTTTCTGTCAAGTTTCGTTAGGGTAATTGAGCATTTGTTCTGTCCTACTTCCTCTGCAATCCAATGGATACTGTGGCCCAGCCCAACCCTGTCTACCACACATTCGGCCCTCATGTACACCAGGAACAGCTGAAGGCCAGTCAGAGCGACCCCCCAGTAACCCCTACTGGACCAGCCCCCAGCTCAGTTCCTGTGCCTTCCAGCATGTGCAGGGGACTGGTCCAGTCTGTCCCATACCCCTTTCAGATCTCATACACATCAATGGACATTGAAGCCTACCTCAACTGACTCCACTCTCGGGCCCTGGTTCTCATGTTTGTAAATGGGAGTTGAAGCCCATCAGAGAGGTGCCCATAGCCTCCCCAATGGATCCATTCCCTTCCCAGAAGCTTGCACTCTCCAGGTGATTCTGCCGTCTAGCTCAACAGGACTTGCTTCCAGTCCCAGCAATTGTCAGCTGATGCTGTGGCAAGGCCCAAACAGCCTGCACCTGCTCTGCCTCATGCCTGTACCAGTGGATATAATTGGTTAGCCCAGCCTGGCTCTCTTCCCTAACCCAGTTCACATGTAGGCCAACAGGTGCTGTAACCCTGCCAGGTCTGGTCTGCCCCCAGTCCCGGCTCTCACATTCACCAGCACGGGGAGTATCCCCTGCTCTCGTACTGGGCTTTCGCATCACCACCACCACCGCCAGTCTGACATGTGCTGGTGGGTGCTGTGGCCCAGTCTGCCCCTTCTCACCTCAGCACTTGCTGGTGGGTGCTTCAGCCTGGCTGAGCCTAGTCTGCCCCCATTCCAGCTCACACTGGTGGGAGCTCCCCTCCAACCCGGTATACTCAGCCCCCAGTTCTGGTCCTAATGTGAACTGGCTGGTATTGTGGCCAGACACAGCCTGTCCTACACCTCATCCTGGTTCTCAGGTTTGCCAGGATATATTATGAACTGGCTCAGCATCGACAACCCACAGATCTGAGCCACATGTATGCCAGCAGGTACTGTAACCTAGTCTGGTCTCCTTGCCTGAGCTGCTCCTTGCCTTGGTTCTTGCACTAACCTTCAGGGACTGCACCCTGATAAAGGAGTTCCCCAAGATCCTCTACTGGGTCTCCTCCCAGTGGCAGATCTTAAACACACTGGTGGGTCCTTGGCCTGGGCTGATTTAGCCCACCTTCTGTCCTGGCAGGAACAGTAGCCTTGTTCAACTGGCCCACATCCAATCTGGTTCTTACTGTTGGATGTTACGGCACAGCCATTCATTGTCCACGCCCTGATGTAGCTCTCACGTGGCCCAGGAGGAGCCAAAACCTAGCCCAGGTTATCCTATACTCACTCTGGTTCTCACAAGCATCAGTGGATGCTGGAATCTCGCCCAATCTGGCACACCCCAGACCCAGTCCACACCCATGCCGAGGGACACTGCAGCCGTGTCCAGTCCAGACCACTGCCCCCATTCTGGCACTCATGTTCACCAGTGGGAACCACAACCTAGCCGGGTTGTCCTCTTAGCCCCCCAACTAGGCCAGTTCCCCTCCCCAGATCTTGCACGTGCCAGTAGTTGCCCTGACCCAGTTCTGCACAGCCCATCCTGTTTTGTCCTTTGCTATCAGATGCTGCAGTCTTATCTGACCTGTCCCACTCTCAGTCCCAACTT